CTGTAGGGGAAACAAAACAGGGCTCGCCATTTACCCTGCCGCCACATATACACTACAGTCAACTCAATACACCAGATTACGCCATGCATGTACAACTTGTTAAAAGTACTCGTAATTAGTTTTATGAAACTGATGGTTTTTCTTTTCAAATAATTTACTGTTCCAAGATATATTGAAATAAGTTTAGTGAGTGAGTGAGTTAAAATTTATCGTCACATCGGCAATATTTCAACCATATCGTGACGAGAACAATTAATGTTATACATAGTAAATAATGGTAAATTTTAAAAACCTCAGTTAACAAGTCTAATTCTTTCTAAAATGCATTAATTAAATGAGAACTTATAATACTAAAAAGATCCTTCATATTTCGTGATTTGAAATAGATATCCCTTGTGATGGAACATGCTTTACCGTGATTCTTTCAACACAAGGGATACAAAACGGAGGATCCTCACCTTTTAATACGTACTCCTGAGTATATCTTGTGTGGCCAAACGACATCGTCGTATGATGACCTCTTCAAATCTGGACTGACAACCCAAGTAGGTGTAACCGATAGTTGGTTTTATTGCATGTAATTTATTGATACCTACTTGGGTGTCCTACTTCTTTTGCATTAGATCACAGATATAAGATCTAATAGCAGCTTTGTAATCAGAGTATGGGATCTGAAGTGGTGTCACAGATTTGTTGAGTGCTGCCTTGGCAGCAAGATCAGCCATTGTATTCCCAGAAATGCCAACTTGATCGGTTTAATTATGATTCTGGTAAAACATCCTTCTCAAATATGACATTAATAGTTCAACTAATAACGGAACCATCAAGTCAACACACTATTCATTTTATTGTAAGTCTATCCCCGATCCTTCTTGAGTTGTTTAATTGCACAAATCATTTCTTCTTCTAAAACATCACATGTAACCCGTGTAGCATAGTCAGTACTATCATTTACTCCTTGTTCATGCCGTTCTATAAAATCCTTGGTATAAACTGAATGTTATTTTTTAATTCGCCGTTTGGTTTTATTGAATCTTTTCCTTTAGTACAGCATTATGACACGCTACACTAAAGCACGGTTTAGGTTATTTATATTTTTCCTTCCTTCTTTCTCTCTTACTTCGAGCTCCGAAGGTTGCACGTGCAGCCTCTGTCAGCACGTGCGCGACCTCATCAGTGATGTCACTCACCAGTACTTGGTCAACTTTCTCAAGCCTGGCTAAATGTTCCTTCTGGCTCAGATTATTTATCCTAGAGGTGTCTGAGTGTTTAACGAATTCTTTGGATTTATCAATGTGATATCGTCTTGGCCTACGTAGATGATTATGTGACTTATTGACATTATGTTATATGAAAGTTAATAATGACAGACACGAGTCAAGTGATTGGGAAACGTGAACTGACATATGTTTCAATTCCTGGCCGAGGATACTAGCATCGGAAAAGAAACGTCAATGAAGTCGAAAACACGCTTTCAAGTCTGACGTCATTGTTACATCTAAAATGGCACTAAAAGACGTCTGTAATGTAAGTGTAGGTTACATCTACTGCCATACTACACCACACAATACTGAAGTAAAACACGTGTCTACACGATTCAACACTATAATAAGGTACTTTGATGTAGCATTGTAGCAGCCACACACTAGTACTGGTGTGACGTACGTCATACTACAGTTTGCATACAAACATCACAGCTGAATACCATGTATCTGAGAATATGGACATATCTGGTTAAAACTAATCTTGTATGTGTGAAGGAATATAGTTTGGTCTGTCAGATTTGGCTTTTGATGTTCAATAAATAGAATGCTACATAAGAAAACAGGATGTTTTAAACAACAGTAGTTGCCAGAGAGAACTGCCACATCCTGATGACCTGCAGTTAAACTGCTTTACCTGACGAGCGACGGTAGCAATTCGTAAATGACTACACCGAAATCATGATGATTGTTAGGACGCAAGACGTAAACAATACCCAAGGTCATTATTGTGAATCGGGCCGCAAAATCGTCGATTCACAATTAGCAATTTATCACTGTCGAGCACGTCGAACGGAGTGTGCGGAATGTGTGAACTCTTTTTATGCTACTGGTGGTGAGCGAGAAAGTGAGTGAGTGAGTATGATTTTACACCGTTTGTGCAATTTTTCAGCAATATCCATGAGATATGTTTCACGTATTGTACCCCGGTGGACAATCGAACACGGGCCTTTCACGGGAAAAGCGAATGCATTCAGCACTAGGTTACCCCGCCGCCCCATGCTGTCAGTAAAATCTATTCTATAAATCTCTAGGACATCTGTAATGTAAGTGTAGGTTACATCTACTGCCATACTACACCACACAATACTGAAGTAAAACACGTGTCTACACGATTCAACACTATAATAAGGTACTTTGATGTAGCATTGTAGCAGCCACACACTAGTACTGGTGTGACGTACGTCATACTACAGTTTGCATACAAACATCACAGCTGAATACCATGTATCTGAGAATATGGACATATCTGGTTAAAACTAATCTTGTATGTGTGAAGGAATATAGTTTGGTCTGTCAGATTTGGCTTTTGATGTTCAATAAATAGAATGCTACATAAGAAAACAGGATGTTTTAAACAACAGTAGTTGCCAGAGAGAACTGCCACATCCTGATGACCTGCAGTTAAACTGCTTTACCTGACGAGCGACGGTAGCAATTCGTAAATGACTACACCGAAATCATGATGATTGTTAGGACGCAAGACGTAAACAATACCCAAGGTCATTATTGTGAATCGGGCCGCAAAATCGTCGATTCACAATTAGCAATTTATCACTGTCGAGCACGTCGAACGGAGTGTGCGGAATGTGTGAACTCTTTTTATGCTACTGGTGGTGAGCGAGAAAGTGAGTGAGTGAGTATGATTTTACACCGTTTGTGCAATTTTTCAGCAATATCCATGAGATATGTTTCACGTATTGTACCCCGGTGGACAATCGAACACGGGCCTTTCACGGGAAAAGCGAATGCATTCAGCACTAGGTTACCCCGCCGCCCCATGCTGTCAGTAAAATCTATTCTATAAATCTCTAAATTCATAGCATGCTTATATAATCTCTCTATTATTTGAGATGTGATATGAGACTATTTCCGTTGTATTTCATTGGCTTATGTCAGCATGTCAGCCTAAAGTTTTACAAAACCTGTAATCATGTCGGGAAAATGGGCAAGGATCTCTATAACGAAATGGTAAACATTCCATCTCATACATGATCACTTTGAACTGAGCAAACCAACAAAGGTATTGTTTATATCGTTTTGCTTGATCAGCGTATTAATTAATCAATTCTTCAGGATTGGAAAGGCATATATTTAGGTTTAAAAGACTTCTCAGCTTGCATATATTAAGAGATGCAGCTTGATTACATTTCAATATGCTAAATTGAATTAGCATTTCTACAGCGTAAGGTAGCTATGTAAGTTTTTCTGAAGTGTGTATTAGTAGTTTTAAATGAGCCCCATTATCCGTTTGATATTTAGATCAACAGCATACATTCTGTTTAATACGATAATATGCCAGACAAAAGTGACACTCTCTGTGCTGCTTTCTATCATTCTCCATAACTCGTGTCTATGAAGGTATTTAATGTTTGTAACACTGACACTCTCAGTTCACCATCAACCAACCTTCCTAACAAAAATATATCAAGATTTGCAATGTTTTGTACAACGCCTATAAAGACGTCACACTGGAAATGAAAAGTGTCAGGGTCTCAAGCTCTCTGCTCTCCCCAAACAATGAGAGGAGTGAGTGAGTAGAAATGTTTCGTCTCATTGCCGGTATTTCACAAAGTGAAGGGACCAATTACGTTGATGAATTACTCTCACGAAGGACAGTATAATGTTAGCGCCGTATCTAATATAACAGAAACTGGCCACATTAAATACCAGGACACTTGAATGAACCTATTTATCAGATGTTAATTTCATACTATTAAAATGCGGTTAGGGTACCTGATCTTCTTGCACTATACCCCACCCAAATTTGTGTCATCACACCAGGCTGTGTCATCAGCTGCTTTGGGATGTAGGTAAGAGAAGCTTTGAATTGTAACGACTGTTCAAACAAATAATAATAATACCCCATTGTTTTGTAATGTACCTTTTAATTATTAGGACCCAATATCAGTCTTCTTGTGGCTTGAGATGCAATGTGAGGCAATAATTAGCTCCCCACACATAATTATATACTACTGGAATAAAGTAGCTTTGCATTATTTGACGTTGTGATAATTTTATTGCAAAAACATAAAATGTGGGCTATTACGTAATCGTTGTAAACTGTTCACAGGATAATATAGGAATATGTATGATTTGACACTAGGCATCGTGACATACCCTTGAACAGATTTGTTTTTGACAGTCAATTCACAAATTCAGTATCACCTGTGACCAACATTGGCGTTGACGCAGGCTTGACAACCCCACATACGCATTCTGTCCTGAAAGTTTGATAAATGACCAATGAAACTCGTGAAATCGGTTGAAAATAAAGTAATCCCCACCACCCAGGTACAATGTAAACCAGTTAAAACACTGTCGCGCAACGTATACCACTGCTTCATAACAACCCTCCTCATTGGATTAGTTATATTAAAGCTGGTGCTGGAAGCTAGTACACACCAGTGGAACCACGTGTAACGCACAATTCATCTTCAAAAGTTTGCAGAATCTTAAACCTTTGCATCGTTGTTTCCATCCGAAACACGTGTGTGTGTGTGTGTGTGTGTGTGTGTGTGTGTGTGTGTGTGTGTGTGTGTGTGTGTGTGTGTGTGTGTGTGTGTCTGCTTCCATTTGTCAAGGTGTATCCAGGTGTTTTAGTTCTAACCTACAGAGATGCTCCCAGTGTTAACACGGGTTAACATTATTTAACTGTTGGTACCATGGCGGTCTCACTTAAGACGCACAAGTCCGTTTTGTTTTATACCGATAAAGTATTTTGTCACCAACATAGACTGACTGACTGACTGAGTTTTACGCCGCTTTTAGCTATATTCCAGAAACATCACGGCGGGAGACACCAGAAATGGGCTTCACACATTGTACCCATCTGTCACCAATATAGAGAATACTTTGAACTGACTTCACTAACTAAACACATGTGTGAACCTAACTATAGGCCTTCCGCGTGAGGAGCACACGCTTGAAATACTGTGCTAACCCCAGTCCCGATTAGATATATTCTCCACCCTCGATGTTTGTTTGGGAAGAGGACGAAATGGCACTCGAGTCATAATAATTGTGAAGTCAGGTCAACCAAAAATGATAATCATGACATGTATGATCTGTCGTATATTATGGACTAGTACACTGTGGATCGTTTTCTTATAACCATCAACTTGCATTTTTTCATACTTGAACACTGCATATAAACACGACTTCAACTCATTCACCCTACGATGTTAAAGGTTTTTTGCTGAAGTACATCCCCACTCCACTTGCCTAGTTGAATATTGAATTGATATCATATTTTCATAAGTAATGATGCTGCTAAATATACAAAACATGAGTTAAGCCACTGACAGTCATGGGACGTTCTTCCCGCCTCGTCCAAACAGCAGTTCTCACTTCCCGCTGCAGTGTTATATCTGGCTCGTGCCGCACGAAAATTGCACGTGATATCCATGACAGGATGACGTTGATTCGTTGTGTTGATATCACGTGCACTATTGAAAATAACTCGCCGTTAACCTGACATGGATAACCTTCTCTCATAATCAAAATGCATCAATATAATGGATGAGCGTAAATTTAACGTCAAATCGGCAATATGTCAGCCATATAGCGACGAGAATAAGATGTTACATTTGTGCAAGAGTCTGGATGAATGCGATATCCAAGATCTGAGTTGGGACTATATTAGATGGTTTCATTGCATGTCTCTCAATCGGTTCGTGCTTTCATTCTGAAATTCTGAACAATCGCTAACTTGTCGTGCAACCCAGATGTGTTAGTCTGGTGGATAGGTTCACACCCATAACCCCTACACTCTCCACAGAGTGTTCATTCACAATACTTCTATAAACATTACCTGCATAAGGAAATCCCATGGTACAAGTGCTTCAGTGTAAGGACAAGACATCCTCTCTGGTTTAACTGCCGGGCAGTGTCATCCATAAAAGTTTATTCCATAATCGCTTTTACGTAACTTCAAACAATTATTGACATGAGTACAGACCCGTGCGCATCTGCCTCTCGCCACTTGTGTAAAACACAAATCAAGTTACGTGTCTACATAGCCAGTCATTTGTGACAAACCTAACAGTATACCTACATACCCAATCTGACCTGATATTGCAAGTATGAAGCGGACATTGGAAATACATTCCCCTACTAATACCTACATACGCATATTGATGCCTACATATCTACACTGATACCTACATACCTCATGCCTACATATCCGGCCTGATACCAACATACAGAACCTACATGCTTATCCTAGAAGATACCATCAAATTGAACCTGATAGAGTCATGCACCCACATACCTGACCTGCACATGATGTCCAAACACAACGTTTCCAGATAGATAATAACTTCAGAAAAAAACCGTGTATCTCAATGTTGTGAATGGGTAGGTGGGTGAGTTTACTTTTACGCAGCTTTCAGCATAATTCCAGTAATGGTCTTCCTGACACCTACATACCCAGCCGGACACCTAGATACCTGACCTGACATCTACATACCCAGCCAGATAGCAACATTCGAAATATAATTCCAGAATATAACGTGTATCTAAACGTTGCACTATGTATATTCACAGCAACAGTATACCAAATCACAACACAACATGTGTTTAATTTGCCAAGTCTGGTTAAATAGTCCCTCTCAAAGACAATGACGATGGCCACTGCATATCAGTTATAGGTCATAGTTAATATAACTGCCCCAATATCACTGAACAGTAGAAACATCGAACATCTCTATGCGTTGTTACATAAAGTAAGGTCTGAACACAAACCCAGGTGATGTCATGTTACTGGGTTAACAACAGTCAAATCAAATCAGAAGGTGTCGGTAGACCTATTTAAACTATATGAATGAAAATAGTTCAACTTTGGTTCCTACTATGTATACTTATTCAGGTCCCAGCTTCTCCCATAGCAGGGGCATTGGGGTAGCTTACTGGTTAAAGCGTCCGCTATTCATGTTGAAGTCACGGGTTCTGCCCCCCTATGTGTGAAGCCCGTTTCTGGTGTCCCTCACCGTCATATTGCTGGGTAAAGCTAAACACACTCACTCTTCCGGTAGCCAGTTAGTTGGTTGGTCGGTTGGTCATTGATCGAACCTAGGCAAATGGCAAAACAAAGAGCACACTGTTCACCTTTTCTGAATAATAATGGGAGACATGTCTCTAATATCTGAATCATTTTCAACGTCTGTGTCAGTGGTTCACGCAAATATTTATGTAAGGCAAAGCAAACTTTAATCAATCAAACCAATATACAAATCCAGCCACAATAGCTAAGTCATTCACGTTGCCAAGAGAATAAAATAAAGCTGAAAATCTCTCATCTCTGCCCTCTGGTGTTCAATCATAGCCTGTGGCGGAAAGCAGGGCTCGTCATTTACCCTGCCACTGGTGTGAACACATACACTACAGTCAACACAGTATGAGTTTGTTTCATTGATCGACATGGCACAATGCCGTTTTGCGAAACCTATTTCAAACAGTGACGGACTTGGTTCAGATGACTGGGAGACGTAAGTCGCGGTGATTGGTCATTGGCACTGATACAATTGTACAGATGAGACGGGGATGTCTTAGTTTTTTGTGTTTTGCATTCTTGGCGATCAGTTGGGGGTCATCCTGCACACCAATCGGTCGATTCGGACATGCGCAAATGGTCAGTGACTCATCTGTGTTCTTGCCTGAAATGTACCTCATTTGTTTTACTTTGCTTTGACGTGCACCCCGTGGCAAATTGGCTTGTGAATTTATCAAAACATCTTCTGTTTCAGGAACGTAGGAGACAACGCTTGGTAAGTACCTTTATCAGACACTTCATCCACCTACCATACAGTGTACCAGATCAGTAATAGTACATGTCAGCTGACAGGAGAAGTGCAGTATGGTGTAGTGTCTGTGTACCTGTAGTTGTATAACAGTGGCCTAATGTTACCAGCCGGTGTCCCGTAAATATGCCAGAGATGTTTCGTTTCACCTCAGCACATCTACAGTTTCGTTCGCATATGGTTTTCAACTTCTTTATTCCTCCAATAAAGTTTTTTTTCTGTGTGTGTGTTAGCTGTAAACTGTTTCAAATGCTTAATAAAAATACTATTATCTGTGTCGAAACGCCAATAAAGTTGAAATCAGTCTGTCAAGTCCGACGTCACTGACCTTTCTAAAATGGTACTTACAGGCATCTGGTATGTTAGTGAAAGTAGAAACCACTTACGTGTTATCACAAATCTCTTAGTTGAATAACAATATATATTAGATGATTGAAATTTCTGATTAAAATTTATCTTGGAAGTGTGAACAAATTAAATGTTGTCAGTATGGTTGGGATTTAATTGTATAAGTACATTACCAGTGAGGTTGAATAAGAAAACAGGCTGTTTTGAAAAACATCGATTGCCACTTAACACTGAGGGGCATGGCGGTAGGAATTACAGGCTATGACACAAGAAGTGAACAATACCCTTACTGACATTGACTTTCATTGGCTAACAGGTATCATACTGGCTTAAATTATTTGGAAACGAAAGACAAAACTTCCGTCCCATCAATAATCACTTTGAATTGGGAACACCGACAAATGTAACGTTTCGCCTGATTAACGTATTTTATAATTCCTATATGAATGGGAAGACACCGTTTTACAGGGCCGGTTCCGGGGTTGCCCCTGTTTGGAATCTCCCCTCCGTGATATCGCCGGAATATTGATATTAGCGGAGTAAAAGTAAACTCACTCACTCTTCCGGTAACCAGTTGGTTCCGGTCAGTGACCCTAGCTAAAATACGAAACAAACATCACATTATTCTCCATTTCTGCATAATGGGGGAGACATGTCTCTGATGCCTGAAACACCTGTCTGGAAACGTCTGTGCCAGTTTTCACATTCGCTATTATAGTCTCTAGCGTGCAGAGAAATGGTAACTTCAATCAATCAAAGCAATATGCACGTATCATCAGAATATCTAAATCAGTCAGGTTGCCCAGAAAGGGATATAATTATGTTAATCCGTTACAGCTGACAAGTTTGCACTCTAGCGTTTTTTCATACTCAGCAGGGGAAACAAACAGGGCTCGTCATGTACCCCGCCACTAATGTAAACACATGCACTTCTGTAAACTCAACTCATCGGAGTAGCCTGTGCATGAATAATTTGTTAACGGTGTTCCCAATCTGGTTTATTAAACTGATTGTTTTGGTTTTTTGAATAATGATTGCATTCAAGATATATCGATAAATGTTTAGTTGAAGAACTACAGGCGACGCTGGCAAACTCAATGATTTGTCACCATCTACCAATCAACATACACCACACACATATACCCTATCTGTTTTATTCAGTACGTGGGTCTCATACTCCCCTTATTTCTTTACAACACGGGTGAGTTATATGCAACTTATTTCAAACAGTGATGACACAGAGACATAAAAATGAAAAAGAGCATAGAGTGGAAGACAGGTGGCAAGGAGGAGCAACTCTGTCATCTATCCTTCCCAAACAGAATCATCAGGTGATGAGTTGATTTGGTAGCTTCTTTAACATCACAAACCAGTACAAATATGTGAGTGAGTGAGTGAGTGAGTTGTGTGAGTGAGTGAGACCTTACTCGTGTCTATGAAGGAATTAAATGTGTGACACTGACACTGTTCAACCCCATATACTGGAAGTTGCTAGTAATTATCAAGCTCTCTTCTCTCCAATAATATAAGAATCGCTAATGAGTTATTGAGTAAAAACTCAACGTTATATCGTCAGTAGTTCATATAGTGACAAGAACAGTTTTCCTTTCACGAAGGACAGTGAAATGTGAACACATTAACTTCTTTAATAAATACTATGCACATTAAATACTAAACTTAACAAATTTTGGCATTATGCTATTAAATACGCCAACCCCCAGACAGACTAGCTTATGCCAGGGACCATGGGGACGTATCTTCTTGCATTATATCCCGGCCTGATTTATCAGTTTGTTATCACTCCCCTCTGTTTTGGCTATAGTCAATAATAGCCTTAAATTGTAAAGATTGTTCAAAATTATCAACCGAAATAACGTAAAGAATGTAAACCATAATGAAACTGATCCATGAGAATTCAATGACTGACTTATAGCAGCATATGTCTACCTTACTCCAGATATAAGCGTGTAATAGCAACTCCTGGTAAAACACGGAAACGGTATTGTCAATGCAACACAGACCCATTAACTCACAAATGGGGTGACGCCCTGAGTAAGTGTGTAAGCTGCGTTTTAAGTGATTGACTCACATGTTGATTCCAAATCTAAAACGTTAAAACCAACAAGCAACAAAGAAATTAGATGGATTTAACACTCCCATTGAGAATGAATTCAGTTCAAACTTCAATACGGGGGTATCACAATAATTCCAGAGCATTGATTATAGCAATAAGAACAATGAAAGTAATATTCACCTAGTGTGTTAGGTACTTGGCTCTGAGGGTATGGGTTCGAATCCTGGATGGGACTCAACCCAAAGAACTAAAATCTGTACTTTACTAAGAATATGTAACCCCAAATATAACATATGTTAAATTGAAACTTGGTTGCACAACGTATAACACTGCCTCATAATTGTTCGTTAAAACTCAAGCGACAAGCCAGTAAACAACATGTGCAACAACGCAAAACATACATTTTAGTGTGCTGTAAAATCACATCAGATTGTAAGATAATTTGCAGAATCTTAAACAGGGCTCTGTGCATCATTGTTTCTTTCATATATTGCTTGCTGCCCAGTCGTAGCAGTTGTGGTCGAAATGTTGCATTGGTAGAACAACCCTATATGGAATATTCAATAACAATGCAATACTTTATATCTAGTTTGACGATTTTGACAGCTTTATTGCGATGACATGAGCTATTGTGAGCCTACTTAACAATACGCTCAAAATGCCTCACTTGCGACAAGAGATCAAAAGTCATAAGACTTAGTGAAATCTTAAACGATACGTTTTGTCCCGGCTTAAAACAATATTAACAGAATGAGTTCAAGACATTATATTCCTGTGACGATATGAACGATCCCAGTGAAGAGAGAATGGTGTAATATTAATCACCAGACTATACCATGCTCCACTGAGAGACTGCTTCAGATGGAAGTAAAAGTGATAACAATGTATGTCTTTGATGATTGTCATTTTAAGTGAATTACATGCTAATAATAGACACAGGTGACGCAGCCCTCTAGGGCGCGGCAATTCGCTGCTAGGAACTTACGATTGTGGGTTCGAATCCATATTCGGCCAGGTGATATGTACAGGTACATGTCACTACTCAAAACTACATATAGGCTGTCACATTTCAGGGGTTAACAGCGCACATATTCCTTTCATACTGTCTTGTTAATTATCAAATCTGCTTCTACCTTTTCTCTAACTATAATGAAACAATACCCATCTATTAGGAGACATTCCCAGCTGAACTGCTAGTCTCAGCATAACGGATCTATCTACGTTTTATCCCCGGGAACCTGGTAGTTAGTAATAAAATAAAAGCGAGGTTGAAACTCTGATCGATTGAAATATCACATAACACTTGAAAACGTCATAGGGGCTCCCTATCCTATCAAATTACTTAATTTAAACCTCTTTGGAATGCAATAGAATAGTAATACTATTGTCATTGATGGCTTTTTTGTGTCATATTTATATCATTACATTTGTAATTCCACTATTCCATGTGCTCTATTCATGACTCATATCAAATAATTGAGAACACAATCGCATGCACGAACGCAGGCACACACTCGCGAAGATGCACACGCTTGACGTGCTGCGAAATATGATGCCTCTAATATTATGTGTTTGAGCATAAATACTGTAACATTTCGAGCAATTAGGATTATCAGTTAAAACGAACCAGCGCCTCCACGTCCCAGATGGTATCCAGAGGACTTTGTCAGGTTGATTCAGACTGAAACTACTCACCCACTCAAACACAACATTGAGATACCCGTTCTGTTTTGTTTTCTGACCCAAGTTGAAACCTACATACCTAAGTTGAAACCTACATACCCAAGTTGAAACCTATATACCCAAGCTGAAACCAACATACCCAAGCTGAAACCAACATACCTATCACCAAGACAAACTGCAAAACAAAGAGCACATTATTCGCCGTTTCTGAATAGTATGGTTCAATCAAACATTTATTATTATGTTAAATAAAAGGTCATCGTTTAAGGAGAATACGAACGAAAACAAAACTTTTGATATAATGTAAAGGATATTCTAAAAGTCACATTCAGTGATTAAAATTGAACAAAAAGTTTGTAAAATAGCAATAAAAACACAAAAAAACGTACTCATATTTACGGTCATACCCCGCTTTGCCGGACAGCTGATGTGATGATCACGGATAAAGAGTAACTGTCCGCTAGTTTGCTGGCTATAGTCTGTTTTCAGTGAGTAGTTGTCACCCTTAGTTTTATTTGATAATGAAAAATATTTATATTGAAGTGAAAATATCGAGATGAAGCTATAGTGTGTACACATAGCCGAAAAAGGCCATAAGTTAATCCCCTATTGTTAAGGGATTATCGTGCAGCAGTGATTTTTTATCTAGAACAAAATCGTCTTGCAAAACGGGAACCCCTCGTATTAACGCCTATTACGGAAACACCCGACAGTTACTGTGCAGAGGGGGTATCACGTAACATGACGTCATATGTGCCTGTTGCTGATGGCTTCCTCTTTGACTTTACCTCACAACTTCACAGTGTCCATTAATTTCTGAAGCAGTAAAAGATGCTCCTGATGTCATTTCTAAAATGGATATTTGACCGTATCAATACGATCTCGCAAGACCGTACCAATACATCTTGCAAGACAATCTTCAATCAAACGAAACGGAGGCACCGCTTGTGGTCAAAATAAATTTTAAAATAGACCATATCATTTAACAAGAATACTATTTGTCAGCAAAATGTGACACAGTTCCAACAAGCAAACCCGACCCTATATTTATATGACCAGTCCTCAGACGTGTGTGTGTGTGTGTGTGAGAGAGAGAGAGAGAGAGAGAGAGTGTGTGTGTGTGTGTGTGTGTGTGTGTGTGCGTGCGTGTGTGTGTGTGTGTGTGTGTATGTGTGTGTTTGTGTGTTAGAAACTATCTGCTACAAAAGTTACACTGGAATTATTTTGTTGAAAAAAATTAGGATCCTAGTTCTCATTAATAACGTATCAAGACTCCATACAAGATCCAAGCCTGGGCGAGCAGAGATAATATTCGCGGCGCAGATAAGTTATTCCCCCAAACTGATGAATTATACTAGTCAGGACAATGTATGTTTCCCTAGTTTTTGGTTATGGAAATAGTTATGGTACTCGGTCATAGCCCTAGAATGACATCTTGTCAGCCAATGTGAACACAGAACAACTTTCATGGCACACACTTCCGACAAATAGCGAGTGTGATGCCGACGTGTATAATTGGACAAAATGGAAAACAAATTGAATGAAAGCAACAAGTACTTCATGATTGCCGTTTTTTCGGCTCCAAACCGAAAACAACGTTTTAGCGAAACTTTTTCAAGCTCATGTGAAATCCCTTACTGATTTGATAATATGTCTCTCATGGGTACCAGTCGAACTGCCCCAGGCTACAAAATGCCCCTCATTCATTCTAATTTGGTCACATTTATTTAAAATGATTAAACATATGCCGTAAATGCATAGTTTTTGTCAACTTTGATGTTATCTTCTTCATATAAAAGGTATTAGGAAGTAATATTTCTGAAAAATACTCCATTTGTGGCTATGGGGCTGATGATGATTTCAAGGTGGGGTCGCCAATTTTGTTCTGGGGAGGTGGGGAGGGGGTCAGCAAATGTGTACACATGTAGTTGGGGGTCAGCATGAAAATATGTTTAAAATTATGCTTAGAAATTATGGGAGGGGAGGGTGTCATTTATCAGTTTTTTACATGCTATGCAGAGGGTCACTTATTTTGTACATATATTTTATATATTGTGCAGCAAAGAGCATGCACTGTCTGGCTATAAAAATATCAGATTACTTTCGGAAATCGGCATTCGTTTTGAAGGAGTTTCAAGGTCAAATCACTGTTCCACGTCTTCGACACAGAACATCGCCACTGAAAGAATCCACGCTGGAGATTACCAATTTTCTGTTGCCAGGCATATGAATGTTAGTCTGAGCACGATATCACTGCTTGCAGCTCGTTACAACCAAACAGGTATAACAAATGACCGTCCCCGTACAGGCAGACCACCACTGCACCCCAAGATCGGTACATCCGGATACTACATTTGCGTGATCGTACTGCCACGGGTGAGAGCACAGCAGCCAGGGTACCTGGACTTCGGAGGATATCCGGTCAAACTGTACGGAACAGGTTGAGAGAGATTGGACTGAGAGCCAGGAGACCCAACGTCGGGACCATGCTACGTGGTCACCATCGCTCTCAACGTCTCCGTTATCTAAAATTATCCACTTAGATATATAAACATTACCTTCTTCTAAACTGATGTAAATATTCATGTCCTAAAGTATATTTGTGGGCGAGTTATACATGTTTGAAAATACAACATTTTCGCAACAGAGTTCAGGGTTATGCATATCTTGTTTGGAATAGGATATCAAAGTTGACAAAACTATGCATTTATGGCCTATATCTACTCATTTTAAATAAATTTGGGCATTTTGACTACCCCTTGGGGCAATATGACCAAAACTTCGGGGAAATTTGACTAAATTTGATGAGGCAATTTGTAGCGGGGGCAATTCAACTGGCAATCGGACTTTAATCTAATTTATGTTATAAATACCACTAACAGTAAGTTGTAACAGGGAATGATGGAGTATAAATGAATCTCTTTGGTACTTCTTCCTTCTTCAGCCTAGTTTTGGGATTTTCACACCCCATGTGTGCATGTCTCTTCCATATGCGTCCGACTCAGAATGATCGGAGCAATTGTCCTGCCTAAATCTGTCTCTTTACTTTAAAAACGGAAGACATGGTGGCTCTTTCCATTTTACGAAGATTCCGTGCATCCCCAGGCATCGGAATACACCATCGTACCATTTACAAAAAAGAAAGAAACAACACGATGTGTATTACTGTAGCGCTTGTTCTTTGACAATATTGCGGGCCCATGTCACATATGACGTCACGAGCGTAAAGGTCACGTGAGTTCCAGCGGAATATGCATAATGACCGAAGCTCAAATTATTGCAGTTGTCTAGTATTCTCCTTTAATGTAACTAAACAGTAGAAACAGCGAACATCTTTATGTGTTGTTACATAAAGTAAGGTATGAACACAAACCCAGATCATGTCACGTCACTGGGTTAACAACGGCCAAATCAAATCAGAAGGTGTTGGTAGACCTACTTAAAATATATGAATGAAAATAGTTCAACTTTGGTTCCTACAATGTATACATATTCAGGTCCCAGCTTCTCCCACTAGCCGGGGAGTAGTAGACAGGATGGTGGTTCTGGATCAAGGTAATCTAAAGCTTCATTACATAGATAAAGCTTTAGTTGGATACCTTATTTGTACTGTTATTACCTATACAGAAAGCCTTATTTCCCAAATAATGCTTTAGTTATGTCCACTCCTGGACCAGGGTAATCTAAAGCTTCATTACATAGATAAAGCTTTAGTCGGATACCTTATTTGTACTGTTATTACCTATACAGAAAGCCTTATTTCCTAAATAAATGCTTTAGTTGGGTCAAGCCATGAAAACGTTTATTTGATCAAATATCCTCTATGTCGTATCTACGGGAGGTAGCATTGTACCGTACGGTACGATCAATAATTCTTCTCTTACAAAACCCCTCCCTGGCCCATCCACCAAGAAATACAAGTTAGGTTCGCCGGCTTTGATGTCTACCTTATCTATGTTGTAAGTTTTGACTGACCATATAGGATCGGTGGATCGTTTCCGAGTATCCCCCTCGTGTTCCCCAGGCTCGTATAAATACCTAACTAGGGTCCTATCTGGTATTTGTTTCTCTTTCCCACGCAAAGGAGCGGCCGGCTCTGCTGCTATCGATTTTAATTTTATAGCGTCTGCCGGCTTTTTACCGGTGAGACGAGTGACTTCATGGTTGATTGCCGACACCACCTTAGGTAACCTCGTGACCCATTCAGTCGATCGTTTTCCCGGGGTGGCCATCTCCCTCGCATACTGATGTCCGAATAAGCGCTCAGCCAAAGTCCTATTAAATCTCTCTACTATGGCTTGGCTGCGATGGGCTCCAACCGTGCCACGTCTCACTCGTACTTTGTGCTTAGTCAGCAACTGCGACACAACTCCCATAAACTCACGTCCGGGGTCAACTTGGAGCTCTGTTGGCCAAGTCAGTGGACTGCGTTTGTATATACGCTCAATAGCTTGAGCTACCTGGGCAGAATCTTTCGTGGTCAATGGTTCAGCTTCCTTGTAGCGGCTGGCTACATCCACGATAGTCAGAGCATACTTGTAGGTTTTGCGTCTCACCCTGTCGTGAGGTAGGAACAGCAGGTCTGCTTGGTGAACGCTATTAGGTATGTTAATACCAAACTTCCTTCTAGGCACGTAGCGTGGTGGTGGTAAATATATCTGCCAAAGTGCTTGTTTTTCAAGCCATGTTTTGACCTCCTCCGGGGATACTCGAGTTATTTTAGCTAGCTTATCTACAGCGCTAGCTCCTTTCCAATACCCACGCGGACTATAGTAAATAGCCTCAAATTTTTTCTGGTTCCGTGACATGTCACCATTTATTTATACCTATGTTCTTGGTTCAATTTTCTCATGTCCATACGCGTACGTGTTTATCCCATCAATGGCTATCCAACGTTTAGTGTCCATAGGTGATAATGATGTTTTATTTATAGTCAGCCCGTATATCCTATGGCCATCACTTCTAAGTGTGTTCATTTTATGTCTAAAGGTACGGGTCTTGAACAGGGCTTCCTTGAATCTGGTGTGTTTGATGTGTTGTTTAACAACGTATTTTTTTACACCCTTAGCTTTCCGGATCTCACTATTGTCGGCTTTCAGTATGGAGTACATCTTAGGCCTCAACCCTATGTACTCGGCTATGGACGTGCCAGCACACTCGTCTTTCATCTTACCTAGGACCTTTTTATTCACCGTGCTGTGTATGGTATGGTCCTTAGGATAGTCGCTGGTGTCGTACAAATCGAGGTGTTTTTTTCATGTCATCGTACACGTCCTCGGTTCGAATCTCCATCAGCAAGGAATCTGTGTCAGTGTATAGCACTTCACACCTGTCATCATACTGTTTCTTCAGCTCGTTGTAATAAAAGTCATACATCAGGTGTTTGGATAAATCGAGGATACTCATCCCAACGTAAACAGGCCGGTTTAATATTATGTGACTTTTCTTCATGTGTATGGCAGCCAGGTCGTTATCGAATATCTTACTACGGTTGAATGCAGGGTTAGCGATCAGCTTCCTGAGTTTTTCCTCCTCATTTGACCGAACCAGCTTCACGTCCACGCGTTTCCTCAGGTTCTCCATAGTCTTACCGAACACCGAGTTGTTCATGAGCTTATACAAGTTTTTTTCTCAAAGTCACTGGTGGCCAGCTTTCGCAGGTCCGTGTTCATTCTGATGTAAGGCTCCATCCAGGGGCTCTGGTCGAACACGAGCACTCTGTGTATTTTGGTCAGCCTCATACCCAACGACAGGTACAGCTGCAGGTTGCGATAGTGAACGAAATACTTGGTCTTATTCATTAAGTTAGGCACGAGTTTTTTCAACGCCCGTCACCCGCCTATCTAACAAGTTATGTTGGTATTCAGACATCCAGT